TATATTTCTATAGTAAACAGTTACAGAAATGAAAAGACGTTGTAAATATTATATATAGTAAAATGTTATTAGTAATAAAAATGTTACATGATGAATATTTGTGACATGTATATAATAATATTGTTTTACGTTGTTTACAGAGAAAAAGATATTATTTACAATGAAGAAATAGATCCTATCGCACGCAAAAATTGAGTTATCACGTATAATAGGACGTAAAGTTGTAGGTCAAGTGTTTGGTACTGCGGTTAGTCCGTCATGGTGATCTTACATGTGGCTGAACGAGGGTATTGCTACGTTGTTCGGCGTGTACATAATCAATCAGGTATTTCCTCATGTCTGTGATACTTTGAAAGAAAACTGAACATAAGTTCTATTTGAAATCATACGAAAAAAGAAAGCATATTTCGATCATTTTTAATGATATTTAAGTTAATCGTAATAAATTTTGTCGCATTCATGTGAAATCGTTTATAAAATTTTTTAATAATTTAATTTTATTGTTAATGGTTATTAGTTTAATATAAATAAACTGATAATTAAATTATTGTTTATTGTATTTGTTGATTGTACTTGTAATATCTAGACTATGCCAGATACTCGGATGTTGGATTTGTTCGTAGTTCAAACTCAACAAGAGTCTCTCCGTCTAGATGATTCACAAATTATGAAACCTCTTGATTCAGAAGTTAACAGTATCTCTGAAATTAATTCTCTTTTCTCTTTCACCTATTACATAAAAGGTATACAGTACTGAATAAATAACGTTAAAACAATTAAAACATAAAAATTATTTAAGAACTATGCCAAAAAAAAAGATTTTTTTTTCAATTCACATATTTTTTTTACTTACTGAAATAAGCAAAGACACATTCTAACAAATATATCAAACACAAATATATCCTAAAAAACATCGAAATTTTTATTTAATTATAATCTTATCATATTTCTGAGAACTTCGATAAATTAATGTATAATTTCTTGCATATTTAATCTTATAACGCTTATTTGTTGTAGCTACCTTCTATATTGCGTATGCTACACCATACAGTGGGTGATGAAATTTTTCAAAAACGGAATTAAAGCGTATATGAAA